GCTGTGGCTTCACCTGAAGGCTCGATGGGAGGAGACTCAGCTTCCGAGCTCACTCGCGGGGCCGTGAGCAGATGGAGTTCCTCCCAGGCTGTTAGGCTGAGGGCCTTGGTTCCTCGCTGGCTGTTGGCTGAGGGTCTCCCCCAGCTCCTTGACCTACGGAGCTCTCCACAGGGCAGCTCATAATGTGGCGAGTGAGAGAGAGCAGAGAGCAAGCAAGACAGAAGCCTCGGTCCTTGGGTAAAGTGATCTCAGAAATGACATCCTGTCACTTTTGTACTTTGTCACAAGTTTGCCACTAGGTCCAGCCCACACTCAAGGGAAGGGGGTTCCACAAGGACACAAGAAGCCATCAGGCCATCAGAGGCTGCCTATCACAGAGGTCATGTGATGTGGCCCCAGGTCTCCTAGCCAGGACGCCCTCCAGCCTCCTCCAGCCCACGGGCTCTCCGCCCCTCCCAGGGAGGTAAGGCCGGGGCTGGAACAGACAGCCCCCCAACCGCCACTGGCCTCGGCCTTCTGTAAACCACGCCCAGTGCCTTCTCCTCCGTGGAAGCCGGAGCGAGTTCCCTGCCCAGCCCGGGAGATTGCCTGTAGCACAGCACTTGCTCTCTGAGCTGAAGAAATGTTAGCTTTCAGAATCCAGGCCCGGGGGAGCCCACAGATGGGCACTTGGCTGGAAAATTGGCCCATCTATTACCCTCCTGGGGCTGTGGGTCATGTTTCTGCTGAAAAGTGGTAGAACTGAGCCTTGTAAAATGATTTCTCTTCCAGAGTTTCTGGTCTCACATTTGAAAAGCCAGAGCAGCCTGTCGTGCAACTGGCTCTCCGGGGCCCTCTCTGAGGGTCCAAGAAACACCACATTCCTTTTGGCTTTCCCCCACTAAAACGAACTCTCACTGTGTGTCCCCTCTCCCTGGTTGGCAGAAAATTAAATCTCAACCATTTGGGGGCTCCCTCGCCATCCTGCCCTCATCCTGTGGGATTGTGTGGTCCCGGGTGATCGATCCAGCACAGAGAAACTGGGGTTCCTTCCCACCAGCACAGGGACTGAGCGAGGACAGCGATTTTTGCCAGGCTTGTGCACAGATGTGCAGTCAGCGCCCCTCACACAGTGCACGTGCAGGAAATCCTTGTTGAATGTTGCACGGAGTGTCTGTGGTCCTTTTGCTACACTCCTCGCCCAAAAATATATGGAGCCTTGAAGAGAGGGACAAAAGGGGTCTTGGCCAGCCAGGCCAAGGTCCTGATTCCCTCGGACAGGACAGGCCCTTCCTCTGAGGTCCAAAAGGTGACGTTTGAGTGAGGAGGAATGCCAGGAGTGCCCCCTGCTCTGGGACGCTTGCTTCCACCCGTTCCGTTCCCCATTCCAGAAAGTTCTCCCTATTCAGCCAGATTCACCTCCCCGTTCTGCAACCTCCCAAGTCCCATTGTTCTTTCTGGAAAGATCTTTTCTCAAAAATAAAAGCCACTTTCTGGACTTTGCCCCTGGGGTGGGAGCCAGTGCAGCATTGACTCAAGGGCAGGCCCACAGCTCTGCTCCCTGGGGGTGGGGGGTGGGGGAGGTGCTGGGGGGGAGGTACCCGAGCTCTCACTCTGACTTCTTCTGATCTTCCCCAGCAGTGAAACAACACATGAATTTGTATCTCAACAAGTTTTCCAGCTCAAGGCTGCAGGCTCTGATGCGAGGGGGTGGGGCCAGCCAGGAGGACGGTGTTGACATCCTGCACGGAGGTGCATGGGAGCCCATGTAAAGAGAGGCAGGAAAAGGGGCAGCACTAAAACCGCTCCTGCCCGCGTGGGCATGGCTGCCTGAGATCCCTCCGTCGGAGCTTCTGTTATTGATCTAGGGAGAGGGCAGAGACCCCCTTTCAGGCACGCACACGCAAACCTCCTTGGGGTTCCTCCCTGCCACGTGCAAATCCCTGTCCCCCTTAGGTTCAGTCAGTCACAGGGAGGAATGGACAACACTCGGGCCCCAGTGACCACCATGCAAAGCACAAGTGTACCGGGCACTTGCAGGATACCAATACAGTGTCAGGTGCCTTTCATCATCATCTCATTTCGTCTTCCAGACCGCCCTTTGAATTGAGTATGAATACCCCCACTTTACAGACGAGGAACCGGAGGCTCAGAGAGGGATGGCTTGCTCAAGGAGCGATGCCGTGGGAATCCTGGCGTGACTATACTCGATGCCATTGGCCACATTTGTAATTACCATGTCCTGCCACCTCCTCCAAATGACAGTCTCAAGGGATCAGCACCATAGAAGGATGGACATGGCATAGTGGAAATTCAGAGGCATTCACGACCAGCCCAGCAATCTGGGAAGACTTCACGGAAGGGGAGCCAGAATATGAAGGATGGGTGGGATGTGACAGGTAGAGCCTATGAAACGGGCATTCCAGGGGGAGCAAAGGCTTACAGTGGGAAAGCATGAGAAGGTTCTGGCACTTGAAGCCACCCTCTTAGGCTCCTGTATTGAGTACATGGGGAAGTGAGGGAGGGGGAGGGCAAGAAAGGTGGGCCAGGGCCACATTGTAGAGAGTGGGGTAGGAGTGGTCTGGGTCTGACCAGCCTGAGAAAGGCCAGACCACGAGTCACATGGGCCACCGAGCTGGGGGTGTCCAGCACCCAGGTGCCCAGGTCCTCTGCTGGAGACAAGCCACTCTTCTCCGAACCTGTGAGGCCACAGCAGCCATGCCCCGGCCCCTCCACTTGGACACCTGGACACCAGGTGGAAGCAGTGCAGGAAGAGGGGAGCCCGTTCATTCCGGACAGAATGTGTGTACCTCCAGCCGGGGTAGGGGTGGCCCCTCAAGGGACTGTTTCCATTTTCAACTGGACCCAGCCTGAATACCAGCTGGACTTTCTGTGAACTTTCCTCTCGTCTAACCAGCATCTGGAGACCTCGAGAAGAAGCCTCATTAGTTACAGACTACAGAGATTATACTAGATTCTGGGTAAGATTGTGTTTTTCTTTAAAGCCTTCACTACTAAAAATATTTTTAAACTGTCTTTTTTTTAACGTCCAGATTGTCCAACCTTCTCATTGAGTGAGGAATCAGAGGCCCAGAGAGGGCCTGGAAATCACCTGAGGCCACACAGCAGTGAGTGGCAGAGTCTAGAGCCAGCCTGGGGCCCAGGGCTCCCTGCAAACTCCAGTCCAGTGCTCCTTCAACATGCCAGTGCTGGCTCAGGTTGGAGCTGCCATGGCCTGGGGAGGGAAGAAGCGGGGGCCCGGGCTCAGGGGTTATTACAGCCCAGCACGACAGCTGCCAGGAACCTCAGTTTGCTCAGGGTCCTCCTTCTCAAGGCCCCAGATGCTTCGGATGTGGGCTCGCCAGGACTAAGCCTGAGACCCGCAGGCCCTTCCCTCCTCTGCTTGGCAAAGACTCCTCGCCACACCCCATGGAGCACCCCTGGCTGCGTCATTCCTCGACTGAGTGAAGCCTCCCATGGCCGGGAATGAGCACTGGATGGGGAGTCAGAGGTCCACGGACCCTGACCCGCTGGGCTACTTCCTAGCTGAGAAGCCCTGGGCTGCTCCTGTCTGCTCTCTGGCTTCCTCGCCTGTGAAAAAACAAAGAGCAGAAACCCCCCAGAAAGCAAACAGGGCCGTGGGGCTACACGGCCAAGCAATCACGCACATGGTTCCTCAGCAGAGTGAATTCAGAACCAGCTCTGACCCCACCGTGTGCTGTGTGAATTTGGGCAAGTAGCTTAATTTGCCTGTGCCTCAGTTTCTTCATCTGAAAAACAGGGATAATAGGACCTATCCCCATAAACTAGTTGGTAAAATTAGAATTAGGTAAGAAAATTAGGTCAGGTAACATAGGCTGAGAGTTTAGGACAGTGCGCGATAGGTACACAGTAAGTGCTCAGTAAAAATTAGTAATTATTGTTATTACCTCGACTGACCCCACACTCCCCACCTAGAAAAGGATACGCAGTTGGAAGACACAGATGTTGGGCTTTCCAAGAGCCTAGCCTGGCGCCTGGGGCGGGGGAGTGCGAGTCGGGTGGGGAAGCGCTTAAAATGCGCTGCTGGAAGTATTAAGACTTGTTAAACGGGCGCGTGCAATGCATGGCAGCCGCTTCCCCACGAACCCTCCCCCACCCGAAGCCCCTTCTCCAGGAGTCGAGGGCTGGTGAATGAATCTTCGAATGATACATGTTCCTCTGTTTGATGCCAGTAATAATGAGCTTGTATGCAGGCTGAGTCACCAGACCTGGTTCACCCTCTGTGCCTCATATATAGGCGTACAATTCCAGAGGCACGGTATCAACGATCCTGGAAATTCATTCATTCAACAAACATTAATTGGGTAGCTGGCAACCTACTGATTCATGAGTCGGAAGGGGGTGAAACATTATTTAGAAGCTATACCAGGGCAGGCGGGTAACAATGTTATTGGACACGTGTTCCCTAAGTGCCTGTCCTCTGATCTTGAGCAAACTACTTATGTGACCTTGTTTAGGAATTAATGAGGGCCAGCTAATCTTTCAGAAGACCTCAATTTGCAGTTTTGGTCAAAAGCCCTTCAGCCTTTACAAATGAAGACCTGTCTTTCTGGGTTGGGCTAACTCCTTTGCTAGTTAAAGGCTTTCTGTGACTTTAAAGGGGGGCGGTACCCTGTCAAATGGACCCTAAAGCATAGGCTGACGGCACGTGAAGTCCCACCCACTTTCTGTGACGTCCTGCGCCCCGGCTTCTGATTGCCCGCTTCAGACGTCAATCGCGGGGCGTGTGTCTTGCTGGGACACAGTGGAGGTCTAGCCTCTGGTTTGCGGAGCGGTCGGGTGTATTCTGCGCTCGCCCCCACGCCCTCGAGGCCCCCGCCGCCCAACTCAACGGCGGCGCCAGCCCGTGGCTCCCGTGGCGCCCTCCCGCACCGGATCGCTCCTCGCTGGGGCGGGACCTGGCCCGACGGTCACTATGGTCAGTGGTCGTGGGGGGAAGGAGGAAGGGGGAGAGGGAAGGGGCAGGCGGTGGGCGGGGTCGTCGCCGGGGCGCATGTGCGCTCGCAGGACTGGGGTCCGGCGCGAGGCTCAGCCCCCAGCGAGGGACCCGCGGCGTTCGCATCCCCGCGAGCGCCAATTCCAGACGGATTGGGGGGGCCCCGGTCTTTCCTCGGAAGGCCCTGCAGGGCCCGGGACGCGCGCCGCCGTCCCCCGAGGACGCCCAGCGCAGAGGACCCAGCCCGGGCCCCCGCCCCCGGCGCGCTGGTCCCAGGTGTCCCCGAGGGAGCCGCCCCGACGGCGCGAGGTAGGCTCGCCGGGAGCGGGGACAGGGAGGCTCCGGGGCTTAGGGTCGCCCCCTCTTTGTTAGTAGCCTCCCAGTCGGCAGCTCACGGCCCCACCTACCCGACGGCTCAGCCGTCAGAGAGACCCAGCCCCCAGTCCCACGAGTGGACCTGGGGGCGCCCGGGTGGCTGGCCATTCTCTCCGTCCCTCGCGTCCACAGAAGGCGTTTGGAGTTAGGTGCCGCTTGGAGAGGCTGTCTCAAGTTGGGAGGCACATGAATGAGGGGTCCAGGCAAAGCAAAGGCTACAAGAAGCCCCGATTCGGAGTCCTGTCTGAGCAGAAAGGGCCCCAGAGACCCCCTGAGCCAGGCCAAACCCTGGGCTTGGTCAGGTGGGGAAACTGAGGCCCAGGCAGAGAAGTGACTGGCACTGATTGTGGTGGACTTGTGACTTGAACCCAAGCCTCTGGACTCCTAGTCCAGTGCTCTTTGTGGTCATCAGTCCACCTTCTGGGTTGGGCGTGGGGGGCGTGGGTCAGGCAGTCTGCAGGGAACTGTGCAGTGGTGACCCCCTGAAACCCTGCCCCCCTGAGCCCCCTGCCCTATAGGGTGTAAGGGCTGGTGTCCTGGCTGTGGTCGCACGGCCCCAAGTTCACATCTCCCCCTCACCCCGTGGAAAGGCAGGAGGCTTCGGCTGGTCCCTCCCCTCCCAGCACTGTTCTGCACGTCTGCACAGTGGGCTGCTGGGAGGACCGTTGGAGGTGATGCGTGTGGAGTGCTGGGCCCAGGTCGTCAGCCACAGCTTTTCCTGTGATGAGAGCCCTGCAAATGGATGTGCACAGGTGCCTGGGTCTTCGCCTTTGGCCTCCTCCCTCCATGTCTGGGCAGGGAAATGGGTCACCACGGCAGGGTGCTGCTGGCCTGGGGCGTGGGTCAAAGCCTGGTCATGGCCTGGCCTGTTTTGAGGGCGGCGTGGGCAGCCCGTCATCTGGCTGGACTGTCCTGGACAAACCAGCCTGCTGCTGGGGCGGGGCTGCGGGCCTCCGGGGCATCTGGAAGCTCCAGCTTCCTGCTGCGTCCTGGTGCCCGAGGGTTTACCTGGCTCTGCTGCTCCTGGAAGGCGGCCCAGGTGTTCCTGCATCGCCCGCTAGGAGTGGCAGGAGCTGGGTTAATAATGGGTTTAGCCACCCTGAGCCGGTGGCTGGCATGCCTCCCGCCACTGCTGGGTAGCTGAGAGCAGGGCAGGGGCGCTGGGGTCTGGGACCTGAACTTCTGGCCTCTGTGCTGCCCAGTGAGACCTCTGACTCCACCTTCCCATCTGCCCTGGACTCTACAAGACTGGAAGTTAGAGGGCAGGTGGGGATCAAAGCGCCAAGCCCTCATCCCGCCACAGGGGGCTTGGGTGCCTTGGAGGGGGATGGGGTGGTTAACCCGCTAAACAGGATGTCTGCCCGGGAATCATGGGGAGGCTGGGGCTGTGTGAGAGAGACAAGGGGCCTGCCCTCTCTTGGGAGCTCACTGCCTGTGGTCAAGACAGAGCTGGACACAAGCAATTCCTGAGCTGCTGCTCATGGCCTAAGAGGTCTGACCAAGGGCTTTGGGGTCACAGCAGAGAGCGGGTGCACTCTGAGGGTGTGCACAGTGTCAGGAAGGCTTCACAAGGGGGCCTTTTAAATGGGGTGTTGAAGGATATATAGGAGTGTTCAGGAAGGATCTGGGGAAGGGTACATTCCAGGCAGGGTGGGACAGCATGCTTAAAGCCCTGGAAACGTGGTTAAGAAGGGGATATTCTGGGAAAGGAGAGCATCTGTGTGGATGCAGGGAGCTCAGGGGAGGGAGGAGGTGAGTCTAGAAAAGTAGGTGAGGTCAGAATGTGCTGTGAAGTGCTTCACGTGCTGTGCTGTGGGGTTCGGGTTTTATTCTGCCAGTGGGGGAACCATAACACATTTTTGACAAGTAAGACATGGTTGGCTTGGATGATCTCTCTGGTGATGGAGCTGGCACAGGATGATGGGGCAATGCAGGGTGACGGGGCAGACGCAGGGCTGCCAGTGGTGGTCTGGAGTCGGAGCTGGCTCATCTATTTGTCCACTCATCCACTCAGGATGCATTTTTGGAGCATTGCTGTGTGCCAGGCACTGGGGAGCTGGTCGTGACAGGCAGGCAAAGTCCCTGTCCTCATGCAGTTGACATTCTAGTGGAGGGAGACAGAAAGAATTCGAGTCAAGGAGTGAACCTACCTGTCAGAGAATGCACTGGAGAAAGAAAACAAGTCAAGGCAGTTGGGGGGGAGGGGGGAAAGGGCAGCTTTTGACAGTGTGGTCAGGGAAGGCTTCTCTGAGGAGGTGGCATCACCTGAGTCATGTGAAGAGGCAGAGGAGCATTCCAGGCAGCAGGAATAGCATGTGCAAAGGCCCTGAGGTAGAAAGGGTGTGTTTTGTTGGAGGAACACAGAGAGGGTCGTTGTGGCAGGAGCTCAGGGAGAGTGAGGTGAGCAAGGCTGGATGCCTAGGACCTGGGAGGCTGTCATCAAAAGGTGTAGTCTTTTCCTAAGTGAGGGAAGCCGCTGGAGGGAACTGAGGGAGGGGGTGTCCTGGTCTGGTTTACATGGTACCAGCCTGCGCTGGCTGCTGAGAACGACGGTGGGGATGGGGGGCAGGAGTGGAAGGTAGGAGGTGAATTGGGCAGACACCGTTGCAGCCTCCCCGGGGGCAGATGTGGTGGCTCAGGCCTGGACCCAGGAGCAGAGCTGACGGGGAGGAGGAGAGTGGAAGAGGACTCCAGGGTCTTTGGCATGAGCTCTGGCTGGATAAAGGGGCATTTTGCAGAGCTGGGGACCCCTGCAAGGGGAGGCAGGTGGAGCACAAGAGCAGCTGGGGCGTAATTCGGGGATGCTGGTCAGACATCCCGGTGGCTGCTGGCTGTTTGCGGCCAGAGCACCAGGGAGAGGTCAGGGCCGGAGACAGATCTCAGGTCCATTAGGAGGACATCGTGTGAGTCCAGGCGTCAGATGGGGGGCCGGCGTCTGCGTTCACGGTCTCCGCCAGGCCAGCCAACAACTGTGACCCAAGCGGGCTGGGGGCCCAGATGCAGGGTCGTCCCTGTTTCCTGAGTGAACAGCAGAGAGGGGGCCTGTGGGTGACAGGCTGAGTGATGGCCCCAAAGATGTCCACGTCCTCCTCCCCAGAACCTGTGACTAGGGGACCTCCCTGGGCAGCAGGGACTTCGCAGCTGTGACGATGTTCAGGGTCATGAGAAGGGAGATTCCCCGGGTGGGCTCACTGATGTGATCGTGAGGGTCCTTGTAAGGGGGAGACGGGAGGGTCAGAGGAGGAGGAGACGTGGCAAGGGAAGGAAGGGATCATGAGCCGAGGAAGGCAGGTGGCTTCTAGAAACCGAAAAAGATACAGAGAGGGGTTCTCCCCCGGAGCATCATAATAAACCTGTGTTGTTTTAAGTCACTGAGTTTGTTATAGGAACAATAGGGAACGATTCAGGGCACTGGGTCTCCCCTAAGTCTTTAGCCTCCAAACGTTTTCCATCACTCATCAATAGAAGTTTCTGGTCCTTCTCTATGTTCATATATTATACATCAGCCCTAATGCAGACATTGAAAAGGGCGTTTCCTTCCAGCCCCTGCCACAGCCCACTATGGGGACCTCAGCCCCAGGCAGGCAAGGCACGGGCTGGAGCCCTGGGGACCTCTGGAGGTGACGAGGACCTTCTGAGGGGTAGGTTGCCCAGGGTCCGAGCCCTGCCCTGCTGGTGGGTGAGCCTTGGGGCTCTGGCCTCTCCTGCGGAGGAGTCAGGCCACAAGGTGAGTCGTTGGTTCTGCGGGGCCGGGCCTGAGGTGGACTCAGCCAGGTCAGCCCTGCTGGTGGAGCAGCCTCAGAGGGAGGTCAGGCCGGCCGAGGGCAGGATTGCCTGCTGGGGCCCAGGGTGGGCCCGTGAGAGGCCGGTAGGCACCTCAAAGCCCAGGTGAGTGGATGTACACGGATGTACCTAATAGTACGTTGATGTGGGCTTTGCAGGTAGAGGCCTGAGCTGTTGAGGAGTCATCAGGAAGGGACAGTAGGGCACATATTATGGCCAGGTGGATTCGCTTCCTGGAGAGTGAGAGGATGCAGAATACCTTTGATGTGCTGGGTGACCCAGGGTCCAAGTCCCCACCTGAGATTGCCTCACTGTGTGACCTCGGGCCAATGGCTTGACCTCTCTGTGCCTGTTTCCATTTGTAAAGCAGTCATATTGCGAGGCTTAAATGAGATAATCCACAGCCCCTGGCCCACAGTAAATGCCCAGCAAAGACAGCTTCATTCTTTCAACGGGCGATCACTGAGCACCTGCTGGGCGCCCGCTGCTGTTCCAGGCACTTGGGGTACACCTGTGCACAGAAGTGACAAGGGGCCCTGTCCTTGTGGAGCGTCATTCTTCTATTATTTCCCCTCTCATGAAAGCCCAGAGAGGCTGGATTCAGATGTGAGCTGTCTCTGTTCAGGAGGGGCCCCCCAGGAGCTCACGGAGAGGCAGGGATCTTGCTTGGGGTACCCCGGCGTGAGATGGGGCAGGCTATGAGGGCCTGCGGGACTGAGCCACCAGAACCCACTCCTTCCGGCTTGGCCCCTTGCCATCCTGCAGCCCCTTGTCACCCCCACCCCACTGTCTCCTGGGGGTGCCTGGAGATCCTTGCACGCTGCTGGCACGGGGGGTCCCCATGGGCGGGGGGCACAGCAGCTGTGGAGTGGGAGCTCCTGCCTCGCCCTGGCGTGGGACCTCTCCCAGCTCCGCTTGGGGACCTCGCTCAGGGCTGCGAACCAGGGTGGCTGGACCTGTCGATTGGGACCCAGTGGAGGGCTGGGCCGACCTGGCTTTCTGCTGGTCCAGGCTCCCAGCGAAGCCTCAGACCTGCTCTGCACCCCAAGCTGGCATGAGTGCCTCCGGCCAGTTCCAGGGCTGCTGAGGAAGAGCCAGTGATGGAAGAAATGTCCTTTTCTCACTTGGAAATACGTTCCTGACCTGACCTGCTGACGCTGTTTGCAAGCAGAGGCGCTACCTGCCTTCTTAATTAATTAGTATCTATTTGCAAACTGGCGATTAGAGGCTAAAGTCCTGTCAGGTGGCCTGATTGGGGCTAAAAGGACATTGTCAGATGTGGCCTGTCTGTCCTTTCCCCATAACATCCTGGAAATTTTCAGCCATAATTTAAACAACAAACTGCCAGTTAGTTGGTTTGTTGCCATGGTCAAACCCAGAGCATCGTTCCTGATTTATGGGCCAGTAAACTGAGGCTGAGCCCAGGTTCTCCCTGGAGCTGGGGACTCTGTTTTTTCCCAGGGCTGTGGCCGGGGCCCTGCTGGAAGGGAGGCGCTCGGGGACCACCTGGGCAGACCAGGGTTATTCTGGAGGCGGGCAGGCAGGGACGTGACGGCGCCAAAGGAGAAACCCACCTGCCTCCCAGGCGCCCCGTAAACACCCCTGGGACCACGAGGGGGCGCTGGAGCCAACCCAAGGCTCCATCACCTGGCGCTGGAACAAGCCCACCAGGAGCCATTTGTCAGGAGGGGTAGATCTTAAACAGAATTGAGGAAAGTGAAGAAAAAAAGTCTCAATATCTATAGAATGATGTGTGCACATTTAAAACACATGCCGCTATAAAACAACTCTGTAGTTTTAGAAAGACAGTTTTCCACTTACGTGCGGTCCCAGGATGGACAGATTCGTAGAGACAGAAAGTGGAAGCGAGGTTGCCCCGGGCGGGGGGAGGGGAAGTGGGGAGTTAGTGTCTGCTGGGTAGAGTTCTGGTTGGGGATGATGAAAAAGTTCTGGGATGGGTGGTGGTGATGGTTGCACAACGATGCGAATGCACTTTGTACCGCAAACTGTACACTTCGAACCGTTAAGATGGTATATTTTGATATGTGTATTTTACCACAATTAAAAAAGAAGATGCACGTTGAAAGCCATCCCGTGGGGACTTCCTCTAGGAGGGGTGGGGGGCCGTGGGGGGTGCAGTGCTGGCCCTGGGTCCCGTGAACCACCCTCAGCGGCTCAGGCCCCTGAACTGCTACTGAATATTTGAATATTTATACTGAAATTCATCAAAAAGGGCAAGTTTATATTCCTGGGACACGTGGAGAACCGAGACAGGCTGGCAGGCCGCGCATCCCCCTTCCTGATCCGCCTTGAGAATTCTTCCTGTGACCGTCGGTGGTCTTTCTACACTAAAGAACTTTTCTCTACACATTTAAGATGAATTCCTTCGCCTCCTTTCCGCTCCCCCATTGCCATCCTCTCAGAAACTGCTGATTCAATGTAACTGACTTTCTGCCCTTCTCTTGGCGCCCCCGCCGCCCCATTTTGTTGGTCGGGGCCATCCAAGCCGAAGCAGCAGTAAACACAGTTGTACCACTTTTCAGTCCGTGGCTGAAGAAGCCCCGAGCCATCGTTTTAAGTCGGCTGTCTGTGAAAACAAGACTTCTGTTAGTGAGGGAGGTGACAGGACTTCGGGAGGTGATGAGACCGTGCGTGGACGCGTGGAAGGATGTTGCAGAGCGGGCACACCTGCTGTTTTAAACGGTTACCTGTTCGTCGTCTTGCCTCCCCCTCAAGGCAGAGAGGGGGTCTTTAATTCTGAAGCGTGTGGGGTCCCGCGGATATTTGCTTTATTAGCACACAGTATGAGTGCAAAATTAACTGTACGCCAGCCCTTGTACCTTATTGACATTATTCTGCCAATAATGTCAACCTTCCATGATTTAGAATAGATCAGAATTTGAAGTTAAAAATGCAAATGAAAATGGAAGACTTTGAGGCTCCAAGTCAGGCCCGCTCACTCCTCGAAGTGCAAAGAAGTCAGGTGTGCGAAGCCGGCCCTGTCCTTGGCATGGTTAGAAGGCCTGAGGGCAATGGAACAGACAGTGACTTGCCCTCTGGATGTCACTGATGTCTTCCAACACCATGTCCAGACATGTCCTAGAAACGTCTCTCAGACTGGGGGACGCCATTGTGGGCACTGAGGACCCGAGCCGGGTGGGAGCTGTGCTGTCTCTGGCTGGGGGAGCCGCAGGGCTGGGAGGTTGGGACCCGGCCTGCTGGTGAGAAGGCCTGAGACTGCCCTGCACACAGCGTTCCTCTGAGGTCCAGCAGCCTTGGTCCCTCGAGAGCTCCTGGCCTCTGGGCCCTGTCTGCCTAGAAGCTTGGCTTGCTAGAATTTCCGGAGGCTTCAGAGTCAGACAGACCAGCATGAAGTCACTTCCTGGCACAAGGGACCTGAGCTTGTCAGTAGAATGAGTATAATTGTTAGTGAAGATTAAGTGAGATAATGGGGATATGTATGCCTCTGTCCGGAGCTTGGCACGTGGTAGGTGGGCATTAATGACACCTGTTGTTATTTCATACATCTTGGGCTTAGGGTAGCAGTAGATCATCAACTATCTTCATTGTTTTGGCTTTCAACCTCATAGTCACAGGATGGCTGCAGTGATGTAGACATTGCATCTGCATTAAAGGTAGGAAGCGGGGAGAAGGAATAGGACATGCTGTCTCTGTTACTTTTATCCAAAGCCAAAAACCTTCTCAGGAGCCCCCAGCGGACTTTTCACGGATCTGGTTGTCCAGTGCCAGTCAGGTGGCTGCCATAGCTGCAAGGGAGGCTGGAAAATCATGGACGAAGAGGTTCGGATTGTCGTGACTTAACCCAGGCATTTTACATCGTGTTGCCCAGAGTACAGTAGGGACTCCTTAAGTGGGGAAGACCTGGGTGGTGGCTGAGGGGAAAGCAGCCCACAGCATCTGCCCCAGAATGGTTGTTTGATTCCTCCTGACGGTTTCCCACTGTTCTGCCAGCTGCTGCTGTGGTGTCAGAGCAGAAGTGAGGAAGGAACCTGAGGCTGACTTAATTTTGCAAAGGAAGAAGGGTGGGTACAGGATGGAAGCTTCCAGAAGCAGAACCTGGCATCCCTCCCCCCACCCCCAAGCATTTGCATGCTCTGTTCCCTCTTTTGGAAAGACTTTTCCTTCTATTCTTCTTTGGAACAACAAATTCATCCTTCTCCACTCCTGGGCTTTCCTCTGGGAAGTTGCCCTGAGCCCCCAAATCCAGGAAGGGCATGTTTGTGGCCACCAGACGGGGAGAAAAGGAGTAAAGTGTGAGTTCAAGAGAGAGCCCATGCCTGATTCAGATGGGGTAGGGCAACCAGGGAGGCTTCATGGAGGAGGTGGTTTTTATTCACTCACTTAACAAACATCTCATCTCCTGCTTTGTTGCAGGCCCTGTGATGGGCCCAGGGGAATCAGACAGGTGAACGGAAGGTCTCAAATGGTTATACGAGCTGTCCTGCACCAAGGGAGGCCTGTGTGGCTTTGGAGACTGATGGGTGGGAGCCTCCAGACCCCCCAGAAATGCCCCTTCCCAGTCACAGCATGTCTCCTCTGTCCTGGATGTGGGAATCGGGGCCAGAGAAGCTCGTTGTCAGACAGAAGTTTGGAGCCTGTGTGACGTGGAGTCACTTCCGCCTCATTGGATGACCCCGTGGCCCAGCGCTCTGCTTCCGGTGCTGAGCTTTGGACAAATCTAATCATGAAAAATCCAGACACGTTTCTCTGATTGGAAGGAGGCTTGTAACATCAAAGGCTGCTCTGTGAGCACCATGGCACTGGGTCGAGGTCATCATCTTGCCAGTGCAGAGGCTGAGAGGCCACCTGGGAAAGGCCCTGTGGTCAGGGGCATAAAGTGACAGTGGCGAGCTCTGGGGACAACTCTGCCCAATTGATGGCAGGAAACTCGTGGAAAACTAGATTTCCACGTATGAAAACCCCAGTTACCATCGCACACAATCTGTCTTCTTGGGTTGTGTGCAGCTCCCAGGGCCACTTCTTTTAACTGTAAACTACACGGGGCTTTAACACCAATTTCTCTTACGTTATTTTCGTGCTGAAATCAGAGCTGGTTAGAGGCAGGGGTGCATTTCCCGCTTGTCTGAGCCCTGAGTCTGGGCAGGAAGAGCACAGGGCAGAGATGAGGTGGCGGGGAGCTGGCTGTTAGAGCAGAGGTGGGCCCTGGGCCTTCCTCCGCCACCGCCTCCTCCCTGCCAGGTGACCCCCGTTCAGCGCTCCAAGGCCCTGGCTCGCGGTTGGGGGGCGGCCCCTCTCTCTGGGCCGGGCTGACCTCCACTCTGGGCTGAGCTGCAGTGTGAACTTCCACCGGTAGGTGGCGCACAGAGGTGTCACCCTCCTCCACCTGCTCCGTGATCTCTGCCCAGGAAGTCTCCCCCTGGCACCCCCCGACCGCTGTAGGGGACCTCCCTCCATGTTCCACACAGTGTGGCCTCTTCTGTGACCCCGTGTCGTTACTGTTTCCCCCCAGACTGTGAGCCTTGCTGGGGGGCAGTTGCCTCTGTATTTCCAGCAAGTACCACAGTGTGTGGCATGGGCTGGATGTTCAGGAATCGTTGGATCGTAAAAGAAGGAATGGTGAGTGAGGCAGGAAGGACGGAAGGAGACAAGGGGACACACTGTGCTCCAGCAGAGGTTCACTCAGGTAGAGAGATGTTCTGTAAAACGAAGCTCTTCGGAAGTTACAAGCTGACACCGCTACATGACGGGCCGGCCCTGCCTGCCTGCATGGGGGGCCTGGCGCCCAGGACGCTGGTGACCTCCTCACACGTGCCTCTCGGGGAGGAAACAGTCCCCGTGTCCCGTAACGAGCAGTTCAGAGGCTTTCTACTTGGTGAAACCCCTCTGTTGCTTTTGAAATTGTCACAGCGTTGCTTTCTCTTGCAGAGTGAAACATCGTTCAACCTAATATCAGAAAAATGTGACATTCTCTCAATTCTCCGGGATCATCCTGAGAACAGGATTTACCAGAGGAAAATCCAGGTGAGGCCGGGCCGGGGGGAGAGGATCCTCGATTAGACAGGCTGGAGCTGGGAGCAGAGAAGGAGGAGCCACTTGGAAAACAAAGAAAGGCTTAGAGCTTGGAGCAGGTTCCTGGGCAAGTGGAAGAGCTCCCTGGATGTTTTGGTGTTGGGCATTTGCCTTAGCGAGAAATCCTTTAGTTGCAAAAAAAAAAAATGGCAATTTTGTTTAAAGCTAGGCACTATCTAGAGGGTTTATTTACTCACCGAGACCGCATTGCAGCATTGTGAGGTCGGTACTTTTTTACCCACCTTTTACATCTGAGGAAACCAAGGCCCAGCGATGAAATGGCAGGCCCACAGCCCTGCAGCGCGGGGGGGGGGGACCGGCCGGGAGTTGCAGTGTGCAGCTGGATCTCCTAGACGCATCTGTAACGGCTCTGCTGGGGCATCGCTCACTCTGAGGGAAAGCGACAGGGTGCAGGGGACAAAGGGTGGGCAGCAGCCGGGCACTCCCCATCTCCCGGGCAGCACCCTCTGCCCCTCTCCGCACCCTGGCGGGTCTGTCTGTCTCCCCAAGCTGCAGTGAGCACTTCCCGGGTGGGAGCCAGGCTGGGCAGCACTGGACTCTCGTGTCCCCAGAGCCCTCCTGGGACGAGAACAGGGTTTCTGAGGAGTACGTCCCTTCCTGCCAGCCCGCCTCAGCTGGGCCCCCTCAGCTGTGAGCCTTCTCACTGCTGTGGTGGGAGCAGGGCCTCCTGACCCCTTGAAAACCACGCTCTGCTGTCAGAACCCTGGCTGTAACCCCATGAGGCAACAGAGGGGACTCCAGGCCGATTGGGAGGGAAATCGACAGCAGGGAGCTGAGCTGAGGGGCCCGTGAGGGGAGGGCTGCGCCTCTTGAGGAAGATCTGAAGGACTGGCCAGCCTGCCTAGTGATGCGAGAGGAGGCCCTTCTTGCGACTCTGCAGCCTCCTGGCCGTCCACCCAGTACCCCCTGTCACTGCCACGCCGCCCAGCCATGCACACAGCTTGTCCTCCTCCAGGGAGCCTGCCTGGACTTCTGCTCCATGGCACCCAGCTTCCCCGGCCCCCCGTCACCGTCACCTAATTGTCCATCTTCCCCCTAGACTGTAGGCTGCCTGAGGGCAGGGCCATGGCCCCATCACCACTGATGCCTGACACCCAGGTCACACTCAGCGTAGTTTTATATTCGTGGGATGAATGAGAGTCGGGAGCCTGTGAAGGGGCTGCAGTCTGAGAGGAGGGAGCATGTTTTCCCTGGGGGAGGTGGGCTGGCCCTGACAGGACACAGCGCACGGAGCAGGCGTTGCTGTCACAGACATCCGCGTTTCCTTCTCTCCCCACAGGAACTCAGCAAAAGGTTCGTGGCCATCCGCAAGACCAAGGGGGATGGCAACTGCTTCTACCGGGCCCTGGGCTATTCCTACCTGGAGTCTCTGCTGGGGAAGAGCAGAGAGATCCTGAAGTGAGTGGGGTCAAGGGGACGCGGGGTGCTCCCTGCCTCTGAGGCTGTGTTCTCTGTGTTCTGGGGGCCCTGACTCTCCCTGAGGGTCTTTCCTTGGCACAGCCTCCTTAACCCGGGGTGCGTGGGGGAGCTGCGTGGCAGCATTGTTGCTGTGGGGGGATGCCCGGCTGCCCGCTGTGGTGGAGTTGGGGGCAGCCAAGGGGCTGGGGGTGGAACGGGTGCCCTTGCAGGTGTTCCAGGCCCCTGGTCTGAGTTAGCCTGGGCAGGTCCCACTGGGTGCATTGGTGAAGACCCCCTCCAAAAAAACCAGACAAAGATGCTCTGCCCCAGCGTTCTCAGCTATTTCAGCCCACCTTGGTCTCCAGCGTGAGGAGCCAGGGGTCTGCCGGTCAGGCCTGGGTCTCGAGGTCAGTGCTGGAGGTCTCGTCCAGCAGTAGCAGCCGTCTGTCGGACCTTCATGTTTTGGCTTCGTTCAGGGCTTCTCACACCTCACCAGTTGTACAAACCACCCGGGGTCTTGTGAAGATGGATTCTGACTCAGTAGGGCTAGGCGGGGCCTGAGATTCTGCCTTTCGCACAAGCTCCCAGGACATGCCCCACTGTGCTGGGCCTCAGACCACGCTTGGAGTAGCAAGGAGCTAAGAGACCTGCTTCTTAACCTTGGGGGTCTCACAGCCCAGAGAGGATTTGATGAAGGCCACGGGCTTCCTCATCAGAGACACCCCCCCACACACACACTCCAGCAACGGTGCAGAGTGGCCACGGGTCACGGAGCACTTGGGGTTGATCCGTGGACCCTGGTGCCAGAAACCCTTTCCTGAGGTGGATTTCTCAACAGCAGCACTGCTGGTGCTCTGGGCTGCATCACTCTCGCTGGGGCGCTGTCCTGTGCACTGTAGGTGTTTAGCAGCATCCCTGGCCTCCACCCGCTAGATGCCCGTAGCAGCCCCCTCCCCAAGTCATGACAATCAAAAATGTCTCCAGACATTGCTAAGTGTCTCTTTAAACGAAGTCAGCCTTGATTGAGAACCGCTGGGTTCAGGCCGTCATCTGCTCAAAGTTAGACTCCCTCAAAGAGGGTGGGAATGAAGCCTGTTCCTTATTGTGAACGAGCCGTTCGTGTCATTTATTGAATGACAAACTGGCAGAGCCCCTTTTGACAGACAGTCAGCATCTCAAGTCACTCTCCTCCCCCTCCTCCCTCAGCCCTGTGGGGGTGGAGGCAGTACGGTGTGGGGGGCTTCCCCACCCCCTGGCCCCAGAGTTGTGCTGCACAGAGGCCCTGGGCTTTGAGGTCAGACCTCACTCTCTTGCTTACTTGCTGTGTGACCTTAGGGAAGTGACCGGACCTCTCTGAGCCTGTTTCCACATCTGTGGAAGGTGGATAATTTCACATAGCTGAGAGGGTTGTTGTAAGGACTCAGCAAGGTGATGCTGGCAAAGCGTGGGCCCTGTGTCTCTGTACCAGCCCTGCATGCTCTGTCAACCTTCATCCCTACCCTCCTTCCCTCCCTGCGGTCATCACCCAACCCGGTGCTGCACACAGGCCCCATTGTAGGCCCTGGGGATGCAGCAGTGAAGGAGACAGACGAGACTCCTGCCTGGGGAGCCTGCATCCCGGTGGGAGAAGGTGGACAGTAATATGAACAGCACTTGATGTGTTGTGGGAGAAAACCAGGCTGGCCAGGGGTCGGGGGTGGCAGTTTTAAGTAGGGGTTGGAGAGGTAAGGGGGCAGGTCATGTAGGGCCTCATGGGCCTTTTTAAGGACCTCGAATTTCAGCCTGAATGAGATGGAGCCACAGAGGGTCTGAGTGGAGCAAGGGGCCTGACCTGCTGGCTGCTGTGTGCAGGACAGCCCGGGCGGGAGCAGCGGGGCCGCGCTCGGGGAGAGGCCCAGAGGAGAGATGGCAATGGTGGCGTGAGCAGGTAGAGGGCAGGCTCGGAGTCCAGACACGTGTGGAGGTGGCGTCGACGGGATTGCGCACACTCAGGGGCGGTGCGCGGGCAGGAGCGTGAGTGGAGAGAGGCGTCAGGGACGACGGCCAGGTGTCGGCCTGAGAGGTGTCGGCGTGGAGAAGCCGCTGCCGCAGAGGGAGGTGGGGCAGCCACAGGAGCTCCACTTTGGCCATGCTAAGTCCGAACTGTCTGTGAGCCATCCGAGCGGGGGCCCAGTGGGCGCGGGATGGACGAGGCGGAGTAAACTGGGCCTCAGGAACGTCAGATGACTTGCCCAAGGTCCCACTGAAGCTCGTGTGCAGCTGAGAGCCTGCGCTTCACGTCCCGGGCTGTCCGCCTTCCCCTCCTCGCCTCGTGGGGGTGCGAGTCCCACTCGACTGGGCCTGTGGGCTGCTCTTCTGTGTCCCCAGTGCCTGGCACAGTGGGGTGAGCACTGGAGAGGAGTGAGGTTCAGGGCGGGTGGCTGGGGAGCAGGGGTCGGGGCAGGAGAGCCGGGGACAGAGCTGTGCACATCGCAGCCTGGCAGGGACAACGTGAGCAGAGGGGACTCTCACAGCACGCCCGTGGAGGCGCGCTACCATCACACATGCACAGAAAGGAGCCTGTGGCCCAAAGCCGGAAAGCAAATTAACAGCGGGGCTGTGACTCCCAGCACAGTGCTCGTCCCCACACGTGCCCCGGCCAGATCAGACTTAGATGTGGCCAGGCCGAGGGCAGGTTGCCTTTCAGCAAAAAACGCCCCACCCTCTGGTTTAGGAGATGTTTCCACTCCATACACCCCCGCCCACCCCGTCTCCCACAGCAAGGCCCCTAAGCCGCAGGCCTCTCTCATGCCTTAGTTAGTCCCTTGTGAGAACCCCGTCCTGTGTCCTTGCGGTCTGCTCTCCCTTCCCAGGGGAGGGGCTGCAGTCCTGCCTGTGCCAGCTGGTCCCCCAGAGCCTGTCCACTTGTGTGGGATGTGTCCCCCTGTCCGTGGACCACAGCCACTTGGTCTATGTCTCGTCTCTGCTGCTATATTGTATCCTGGGGCCAGGGGCTGGGTGGGGCTCCTCGCCATCCCCCCAAGAGTACCAGGACAGGCCCGAGAATGGGGCCGTGCCATTAGGGGTCCTGCGGTGGGAGCAGAGAGGGACGATCCGGCACTGACCAAGCAAGGGCTGTCCGACCAGGTCTTGAAGGGCGGCCAGCGCCAGCCAAGGTTTGACGGCCGTGGGGCGGGCAGGCCTGGTTTGCGGTGTTAGTGATTCCTGTGGTATAAATACTCCCGTCGTGACTGACTTCACTCTGCCACCCTGGGGTCACTGAGCAGGGGGTTGGGAGGAGACACGCAACACACACGTACAGTCCAAGTCGTGTTTCCACCATCCACACGCACTAGACACAGATAACCTCCCAGCGTGGATCATGTAAAGCAGGTAATGAGGAGGTTTAAATATTAATTTTGTTTGTTTCTTAGTAGAATTTATTTAGTTGTAGAGTCACATAACTTGTTTTTTAAATAATGGCTGTGTTTAACACCTGGCTGGCAAAGTCCTTGAGAATTTGACCGTGGGCTCTCGTGAGCGGTACACACTGGCACCAGCACGCCGCTGAGCAGAGGCTCCCCGGCTGCAGGACTGCGGGTGCCAATGCATGGAGTGGCTGTGGGGTGGGAGGGGCTGTGTGACTGGACCGGGGATAAGCTTGGAGCTCAGCCGGGGCCCTCCCTGGACGTCTGTGCCGAGGAGCTGGTCACTCCAAGGTCCCTGTGGAGAAGGGCCCAGAAACCAGGGAAGGCCAGGCATGGCCCAGGCCAGAGATGGTGATGATACGGCAGGAACCATGGGGACAGGAAGGAGGGTCAGAGTCAAGAGACCTTTGAAAGGCAGGATCCACGTGTCTGGGAGTGGGTGGTGATTACCCCAATTTCCGCATCTGTGAGATGGGTGTAACGCCCGCCTGCCAGAACTGCATACAGTGGGGAGGACAGAACAAGTCATGTGTGGTCCAGGTGGCGGTGCTTTGTAAGGTAGGAAAGTCCGGCACCTGTTAGTGACATCCATCTTCTGAGGTGTGGGTGAGAGCGGGGTGACAGTTGGCGGTCGCTGTGGCACCCCCATGTTTCCCCGTGAGCATCAGTGTCCTCCCTTTAGGTTCAAAGAGCGCGTGCTGCAGACCCCAAATGACCTCCTGGCTGCTGGCTTTGAGGAGCACAAGTTCCGAAACTTCTTCAATGCTGTGAGTTGGCCTGGGCACGATGGCTGAGGGACCAGGTCCTTCCACGCTGGCAGGGCAGACAGGAGGGAGCACTGGCCGGAGCCCCTCACAGCCTCTGGCTCTCATGCCCCTCGTGCTCCTCCCAGTTGCTTCCTGCTTGTGGGGACATGAGGGCGCAGGGAGCGCAGGGCCCTGCCCTCCCTCTGGGAGGAGGCGCCTCGTCTGGGGCAGTAGCTCTCAGGCTGGAAACTTCCACCAGCTTCCTTCACCCCATTCCCTCTGCACCCCACTCCCCTGGCTCCCATTAGCGAAGGGGGTGAGGTTGGAGGACTCTCAGTTCTGAATCTGTAAATAAGAATCCCACCCACGACAGTGATGGAGGGAGAGCCCAACTGCTGTTTCCTAGACAGGCCTCCAGGCTGAGGTGCTCATTGCAGAGTACTTCTGACTCTGTTCCTTAGCTTTGGTGGGATGTCAGACTGATGGATTTTGGTATCTTAATTTGAGGATTTCAAAGTGAAAATGCGCGTGGGGGGAGCCCCGTGGAGGGAGGGGCGGGGCCTGCCCCGGCTGAGCCCACCCGGCGGGGTCCAGTTTTACAGTGTGGTAGAGCTGGTGGAGAAGGACGGCTCGGTGTCCAGCCTGCTGAAGGTGTTCAACGACCAGAGCGCCTCGGACAGGATCGTGCAGTTCTTGCGCCTGCTCACCTCAGCCTTCATCAGGAACCGTGCAGACTTCTTCCGACACTTCATCGACGAGGAGATGGACATCAAAGACTTCTGCACTCATGTAGGTCCTCAGGGTCTTAGGTTTTGGTGACCCGGCTCCCAGTCCGGGGCTCTGCTCTTGTCCCTCTCTCCTTAGGAGACTTTAGCACCAACATCCCTAGCCAGGGGACTTGGGTGTCACGTCTGCACTTGCATTTCAAAGAGCACTAGATTAGCAAGCCAGAAACAGATCCTACTTGAGCTGCCTGAACTGTGTGGCTTTGGGCAAGTCACTTTCCCTCTCTGGGCCTCAGATTTCCCATCTGAGAAATAACGGCTTTGGACTGGCCTGTTTACAGAATTGTGACTAGCAGCCCGGGAGTGACATCTGCCCTGAGATGTGTTTTGTTTATGATGTATGGTATTTACCTGAAAGAGCTGCCAACTTTTACATATTGGGCAATTTTCATATGAATTTCTGGATTTCTCTGGAAGAATCAGAAGATCCAGCTCCCCAGGCCTTATACGTGCAGGGCAACAATCAGCAGGAGCTAAGTGGCGGCTGCCCTAGTTGTGTGGGACACACTTGCCTGCCTGCCACCCTCTCTGTCTCTTCAGCATCTGACTCCCTCCCTCCCCCTCCCTTGCCTGGCCCTCTGTAAGCATTGAAGCTTCACATCCCTCATGACGGAGTCCCTTTCTGTTCGGAGAGTCTTAGATTGTGTGCGTTAGGAAGCCCAAGTCCTGCCCCGCTTCCAGACTCCTCCAAGTAGTGTCCTCTTCTTACATACGACTAGAGGACCTGAATCAAAAAGATCTCGATTCAAGCCGGGCGGTCCTCGCGATTTCCAGCTGCTCCCTCCTCACCACACCTCCCTCCCTCCTCTGTTGTGGGTTGTTGTGAGGATTATTTCCCAGCGCAGAGACTGTGACTCGGGACCCTGAAAGCCGGGGTTGGCCTTCTCACTTGTCCTCTGCCAGGCCTCCTTCCTAAACTGGGTTTGGGTTTTCACTTTGGCCTTTGCAGGAGGTGGAGCCCATGGCCATGGAGTGTGACCACATCCAGATCACGGCCCTGTCTCAGGCCCTGAACATCGCGCTGCAGGTGGAGTACGTGGACGAGATGGACACGGCCCTGAACCACCACGTGTTCCCTGAGGCTGCCATCCCTTCCGTTTACCTGCTCTATAAAACATCCCACTACAACATCCTTTATGCAGCCGATAAACGTTGATTAATTTTAGGCCATGCAGTGGAACCTGTCACCTAACGGGACTGCATTGTGAATGGAACATTCCGGCTTTTCAATTTTTTAAGCGATTTAGACTGTAGTTGAAAAAATGTACAGCCTTTTGGGCAAAGTCACCGGGAATGAGGCCTACCCATTACGGACTGTGGTATCTTTGTGATATTTTAGTATTTATTTTCCTGGAGGATCAAATGCTTTCTGACTCGGGGCCAGGAAGCCAGGAGCCCTGGTGCTGCTCCCAGTTCTGTGACTTTAGGTCACCTCTCCTGTCTGGCCCTGTTGCTTCATCTGGAGGAGGTTCCTGCCAGTGTTGACACTCTATTGTGTAAAGATGAGGTCCTCTGGTTTCTTTTCACCAGGGCGGTGCCTCTCTCTAGGGGAGGAGAGGCTCAAGGTCAGCTGTCTTAAGTGATGTACCAGTTCTGTAAAAAAGGACCAAGTCCTGGGGCCGGCCCGGTGGCGCAGCGGTTAAGTGCATACGTTCTGCTTCAGCGGCCCAGGGTTCGCGGGTTGGGATCCTGGGTGCAGACGCAGCACCGCTTGGCAAACCATGCTGTGGTAGGCGTCCCACATATGAAGTAGAGGAAGATGGGCATGATGTTAGCTCAGGGCCAGCCTTCCTCAGCAAAAAGAGGAGGATTGGCAGTAGTTAGCTCAGGGCTAATCTTCCTCAAAAAAAAAAAAGACCAAGTCCAGTCAGCTGGTGGATTGGACATGGGTGCGTGCTGCCTGAAGCCCTGGACAGCTGAGACCTACTGGAATGAGGGCTTCAGTGTGGTTCCCAACATTCATGATGGGAGTGTTTTCTTATCCCTAACTTAAGAGTAAAAAGAGACTCTTATGCCAAAGTCTAGAAAGGGGCCTTCAGCCTTCGGCGTGAAGCTCAAGTTGTTGGGCCCCTCTACCTCTCTCAGGGCCAGGCCTGTCTCCTTTTGGAGGGCAGGCCTTCAGGGTTCTGCTGCCAGCACCACCTGAACAGAGGCTCGAGTAGGACTAGAGTCTGGGACCAGGAAGCTGTCTCACCATCCCCAGCGTATCCTGAAAGTAGAATCTAGATACCAGCCAGGTGGAGACAGGGCACATGCAGCCAGACTCCAGCTGAGCAAAGCAGACAGGTTTTGCCTGGCTGTTTTTGGCTTCTTTCCCCTTCTGCTCGGTTTATGGGCTGGCGAGAGGTTAGGTGGGAAAGAACAGAGACAAACCGAGGAAATTGGCAGTGGGGAGAGCTCCCTCGTGGAAATGCCTGGGAGCAAGAGCCCTGGCTGGCAGCTTCCTCGTGCGTCCAGCTGGATGTGCCCCTTAATAACCTCTTCACTCTCAGGACCTCAGAGCCCTGGTTGGGCCGGAGTGCTGCTAGCGAGCTCTCTTCCTCTGCGGGAGGAAAAGGAGAAGGCAGCGGCGAGGAATTGCCCTTTGGGGTACTTCCTTAATTGAAGGCCTTCTTCTCATCACAGGTCCCATTCTGCAGGGACTTCTTAGCATCTGCTGGTGCTGCAATGCTAGTCTGGCCACAGCCAGACTGGCCTGGGGAGGCCGGGGTGCAGACTGCTCCGAGTCCTGGCACACAAACGTCAGATTTCTGTCACTCTCTGCCTTTGTGAAGACAGACATCAGGGTGCTTTAGATCCAGGCAGGAACCTGGGTTCCCACACTGCCCTCAGCTGGCATTTGGACCCAAGGGCTCAAGCTAAGTGATTATGTCACTTTTCCACAGGAATGTAAACCTGACCCTGATCTCTGAATTGGTGCAGTGTCCCTGCTCAGGGTAGGAGTGCTAGGGTGGTGACAAATACACTGGAAGTGTGGGGGGAGCGTGTTACATGATTTGTGACTGTCACATCCTCTATTTCCAAACTGAAAGGCATGAACACACGGCGCCGGGCTAAGCCCTTGGGTGCAATGAGGGCTTGTGAGATAGGTCCTGGGCCTCTGGCCGCGCTCTCTAGCACAGCATAAGCAGCACTGGCCGCCACCTGTCTGCATCTGTGGCTTGTGTGGCGTTTACAAAAGCAGCGCTTTCTCTCTGGCAGACCGGCTGGAGAAACCCCTCTCAAAAGTGCCTATGCTGTGCTTCCAGGCCTGAGAGCCTGCTGGGCTCCCAGGGGACCCTCTTCCGAGGAGAGGTCCCCTCAGTTTAGCGTCAGGATGCCCCACAGAGGCAGGCCAAGTTCCTGTCATGGTCTCACCTTCTGCTTTCCCTTTTCACAAAACCATTGGCCAAATTCTGGTCTCCAAGGAAAAGCACTATGAGAAGGAGGAGTGGCAGGATCAGTGAAACGTGAAGGAATGTGTTAACATCCCGCCGTCTGTGGAAGACACCTGGCTCATCCATTGCAGCTGGTCTTCCTGGAGTCACACCGCCTGGATGATTCTCCGCCCCGCACCCCATGAAGCCATCTCTTTCCAGACCAGAAGCTAGAGGGAAAATTGCTTTGAGAGTTTGTCTTTGTAACTGCACATTTGTTACTTTCTTTCCAAAAGAAACTTGATAAATCAATGGGAATATTTAGCAACAAAAAGAGCAAACTGTCCTTACTTTTGACTAAGTTCTATTTTAAGCACAAAGGGGCTCTGGAGCCAGACTGGGTTCGAATCTCAACTTTGTCACTTAGTAGCTATGTTACCTTGACCAAATCACTTTCTCTCTCTGAGCCCCAATTGCCGTTTAGTGAAATGGAGACAATACCCAGCCATCGTGGGATTATGGGTTAAAGTGGAACGAGACTGTGTGTGTGAAAACAACTGTGAGACCTGACACACAGTGAGTGCTCAGAAATGGGATGCTCCCCACACCCTGCCCAGTGGGGAGCTGCAGAACACTGCAAGATGGGGAACATGCCACCTTGGCAGTGGCGCTGTGGCTTCCCAAACAGAAGTTTGGGAACCACTGGACAAGTCTAAGAACCAAACACATTCCCACACTGAGCAGAAATGGGCGTGGGGTCTATGGCTCAGCGAGTGGTTGCCCAGGGGCCCCAGGTCCTGTGGGAGGTGGGCCAGGCCCTACAGCTTCCCTGGACAGTTGGTGAAAACATTTTCCTAGCATTAAAATTGCTTCCATAGCAACTTCTGTCCTGGCTTCTTAGTATTTGGTATCTTGCATGCACTGAAGATCAACACTACTGTCACATGGGGCTTATGTGTGTGAGTGGGTGGCTTAGTGGGGGAAGTGGGGGGCTCCTTGTTTAGTAGAAGATCCAGACACTCAGGAAGTGCTGCCCTTGGGCTGGAGGTGCCAAGAACCAGGCCTCACCAGAGCTTTACCTCATCAGGTCAGAGAGCAGAAGTGCCTGCGAGGCTGGCCTTGTCTTTTAAAACCTACCCTCATAACACATCACCCCACCAAGAAAAGAGGGCAAGGGCAGGGTGTCAGCCGACATCAGGGTTGCCTGTTTGGCTTGTGACATGAGACCTCATGCCTCTTGTGGCTGCTAAGGGATCTTGAGCCTGCTTAAACCTCCACTGCATCATTTGGAAAATGGAGAGTCCCCCTGCCATCCTCTGACAGCTGTCACTCAGGAGCTGACCTCACAGACTAGGGCTGTTTTCTTTTGCATTCTCCTTTCCAGGTCATCAGTGACACTGGGGTGACCTTCCTTGGCAACACTGCTGTCTTTAAGACCAAAGCAGTTTTCTGAACTTACCCTGAGCCCACAAGGAAATACCCAGGATTCTAATGCCAGCTCTGCGACTTGGCTTTGTGTGATCCTCAATAAGTCTTAACCTCTCAGTGTCACTTTCTCAACTATAAAAAAGGGTACTAAGACATGTCTCAGGGCCTTCATGGAAATGAAATAATAAAAGTGTCTAACAGTGCCTGGGACTTGGTCAACACTCAGTGATACCTGAATCTGAGTTTAGGCCAACTATCCTATTGCAGTTACCCAGGGGGCTGCCATCCCACCTACCTTGCCAACCGTGAGGCCAAAGGAACACCTGTTTAAAAGCCTAGACTTAGCTGTGCAGAAATCTGTGCTTCTCCCATGATTGTGACAATTGTGGCTACTGACCCAGACCAACCCAGAGAAAGCTGGGGTGGCAGCAGGTCATTGGTTCCCTCAGCACATACTTATACCATGCCCTGACTTAAGCCCAAGGGCTGCAAGGGCTAATAAAGCAGCCTCTGCTCACAGACTCAGCAAAGATGACACAGTGTGGCAAGTGCTGTGAAGAGGGTAGGTACGGGTACTATGAGAGCCCACCGGAGGAACACTTGGCCCTCCTGGGGGTTCAAAGACCCAGAGAAAGAAAATGTAGCAGTGCTCAAGGACAGGAAAAGGCAATCGGGCCCAGGGAAAAGCTTGTGCAAAGGCTGAGGACGAGAGAAGGGGCATGTGGGACTGTGAGCAGCAAGCAGTTCTGTCACACGGAGAGGAGAGGAGAGGAGAGCCGAGGCAGGGCAAATCGGCTAGGGCCAGATCCCAAGTGCCTCCCACGCCAGACTCAGCATGCTGTCACTGGCTTCCTCACAAGCAGTTCTGTGATGTTAAGAAAGCTTGTGTTCTCTTGGAACTCGAGGATGGCAATCCCTTCCCCGCCCACTTCGCAGGGTGGCTCAAACAAGACGAGCTGTGAACAAGTGGTAAAGAGCTAAGGAGCTGTCAGGTTCTGCTGTGTGGAAAAGGAGAACACAAGCTAAGATGCAGGCAGAGACGATTTTATAGTAATCTGCAAAACTCTCAGGCCTCATGCTCCATCCACACTCTCCAGCGGGGGGACAGACGCCTCATGTGTATCCTGCAGCCAGAGAATCAGGACAGTATCCCCCACGTTCTGGCTAAAAACTCAGAATGACAGGCTGGTTCTGATTATTACTTTTAATTCAGGAAATAAAGCTGAACACAAAGGAAGCCCGTAAACACTGAAATACAGAAATAAATAAGCTGCTGCACAGAATTCTTACTCCAAAACAACACAAATCTGCACGAGGTCTCTCCCACCATAAGAGAGGGAGATTTTGATAACCGGAGTTGAGAGTGGAATGAAACGAAAGGTGGGAAGGTTTTCCATATAACCAGAGAACAGAGACAATGTCACCAACAG